ATGCAACGATGATAGCGTTTTTACGACGGCTAGAAATGGTGATAAAGTTAGTTCAGGGTTTGTGTCATTTTTAATGTCTTTCTCACGGGACCAATTTCTTCACTTACACACCGAACGTCCTTCCACCTGCTTCTTAGAAAGAAAGAAAAAAACAATGGGAGTGGCGGGGTGGGGGAGAGAAAGAGAGAGTGAGGGAGGAGTCATGGAGGAAAGTAGGAGAAGGAAAGTTATAAAAAGAGGAAAAAAAGAAAGTGTAGTTAGACGAAAGAGAGGAAAATGAAAAAAAAAGAAGAAAGAATAGAAAAAGAAAGAAAAAATAAAAGAAAGAGCAAAGAAAAAGATAAAAGAACAATGGAAGCGAAAAAGAGAAGAGAAAGAGGGAAAGAGAAAAAGAACAATGGATGCGAAAAAGAGAAGAGAAAGAGGGAAAGAGAAAAAGAACAATGGAAGCGAAAAAGAGAAGAAAAAAGAACAATGGATGCGAAAAAGAAAGAAGAACAAAGAAAAGAACAATGAAGGAAGAGAAAGAAAAAAGAACAATGAAGAAAAGAGAAAAAAAAGAGAGAATGTGAAGGAGACATAAAGCGATAAAAGAGACATAAAGCGATAAGAAGTGAGAGAAAGAAAGAGAGAAGAAATTAAAAAAGAGGAAAAGCAGAGAAAAGATTATGAATGAAAAGAAGTAAAAAGACAGAAAGGAAAAAGGTAGAGAGAAAGAAATAAGGAAAACAGTCAATGAATGGGAAATAGAAGAAGAAAAAGAGGAAGAAAAAGAAGGATAAAAAGAGAAAAAGAAAGAAAAAATAGTGGAAAGAGAAATAAAGAGGAAAACGGGGAGGGGGTCAGAAAGAGTCTGGGGTGAAGTCAGAGAAAGAAAGCGAGAAAGAAATAGAGAAGGAGAAGAAGCATAAAGAGAGAAAAAGAGAATGAAAATCAAAGATACTTTTGGGTTTTAGCGAGAAAAAGATGTTCAGGTGGAACAGTGGATAATGGCTTGGAGAGTCGAGTTCGAATTCCAGTCGAGTCCTTTACATTCAGTTACATGCAAATACCCTTAGGAAAGGTATGAATCCTTTTCCTCCCACCAGCTTGAATCTCTAAAATTCATTGTTATTATGAAATATATATATATATATATATATATATATATATATATATATATATATATTACCGCAACATTCGTAAAAAAAAAAAAAAAAAATTATTCTTAGAATACACCAATATGCTTTGGCCTAAAACTAATCAAAATCAACAAAGGTTTGATACATCATTTACAGTATTCGAACTATTGTCCTCATCTTTGTCGCCATATTTATCACAACGTTTCGGCCTTTGTACGCTCTGTCCTTCTTCAGGTGGTTGGAATGTCGGACTGAATCCATTATTTCACTCACTGGGGTAGACTGCTCAAGGACACATGGCACAGTGGATAAAGGCGTTGGTTAGATCCAGTGACAGGATCCAAAGAGTGTGAGTTCAATACCCGGTTAAGGTAGTGGAGAACTTTCAGAGGGAAATTAACAGGAGATAACTGATAACTGACATCCATCAAACATGGCACGTGGAACTAGAACAGTCTACCCCAGTGAACGAAATAAAGGTTTCAGTTCGACATTCCAACCACCTAAAGAAGGCCGGAGCGTGAGACAGTTCAGGCTTTTTAAATAATACGTGCATGTTTATTTTTTGTTTGATTTTTCCGGGATCCTATGCAAAGTAATTTATATTTACTAGGAGTACCTATGAAAATTTATATTTACTAGGAGTACCTTTGAAAATTTATATTTACTAGGAGTACCTATGAAAATTTATATTTACTAGGAGTACCTATGAAAATTTATATTGACTAGGAGTACCTTTGAAAATTTATATTGACTAGGAGTACCTTTGAAAATTTATATTTACTAGGAGTACCTATGAAAATTTATATTTACTAGGAGTACCTTTGAAAATTTATATTGACTAGAGTACCTTTGAAAATTTATATTGACTAGGAGTACCTTTGAAAATTTATATTTACTAGGAGTACCTATGAAAATTTATATTGACTAGGAGTACCTTTGAAAATTTCACGGTTTTCATTTCCTGATGAATCCTAATTTTTAATTTAATTATAAAATAAATTATTTTGTAAGTTCCACAGCTACAGTTAACTATTTATGCGTAACAACTTCAACAATGTATTGCTATAACAATCATAACAATGAATGCAGGTTATTATTTAAAGAAGTAAGAGGGTACAAATGAAAATATCCAAGGTTTGGTTTGGTTTGGTTTGTTTTGTTTTACGGCATATCAACCTCAATGGGTCATTTAATGCCGACAACTTTTTTCCCCTGGTAATATTTTTGTTTTGTCAAAAATCTATTTCTGTTAACATTTTTTCCTCAAAAATGTATAGCTGATTATATTATTTTTTGAAAACGTATAGCTGGTAATATTATTTTTTCAAAAAACGTATAGCTGGTAATATTATTTTTTTCAAAAACGTATAGCTGGTAATATTATTTTTTTCAAAATACGTATAGCTGGTAATATTATTTTTTTCAAAAAACGTATAGCTGGTAATATTATTTTTTTCAAAAACGTACAGCTGGCAAATTATTTTTCAAAAACGTATTATCAGAGGCCTTGCTGCTGGACGTAGTTTATCGTCTTACCCAGGGCGCGGATGCAGTTTATCGTCATACCCAGGACGGGAAAATATTCCAAACTGACAATGTTTCCCATCTCACTGAAGCAGATGTTAAATACACGAAAGAGTTATCTCCCCTATATCTTCCCCTTTCTTACTTGCCTTATTTCTTATATTAATTCTCTCTTTTTTTTTTTCCCTTTCTCTAACACCAAACTGCACCTGTGATATATCTTCTTTTCTGCCTATCTCCACAAATCAAACAGGAAAGGGCCGTTGTTTATCTGAGGCAATGGCAGGGCTTACATACAAAGGAACAGGCAGAATTATAACACGGTAATCAAAAGTTTTTATATATCTCATAGAAAACAAATGTCAAATAACAAGAACTGCAACTTTCTTAAACAAACTCCCAAGATGATGCTTCCCCGAGAATTACAGTCTTAGTCCCTTTAAGTCTAGGGCCAAATGTTATGTTTCTTATATATCTTTATAGTCTGCACTTCTTTCTTCCTCCTTCAGGAGTAACAAAGTACAATTTTTAGACAATTTAAAATTTTCCTCCATTGTAAGTTCCGACTCTGATAAAATTGTCAAGTTACAAAAAATATTTTTACAGTCAATATTTAAATTCCTCTTTTGATTTTTTTTTAAAGAAAATCGCATGTGACATTGTGACAACAAAGTAAAAAGTTCACAAAATAGAAATAGCGTTCACATTCAAAAGGGATACAGTCAAGTGGTTATAGACTTCTGACTTCAAGGAAAGAAAGAAAAAAAATGTTTGTTTATTTTAATGGCTAAGAAGAAATCCCAGCATGCATCTGTAGGATTTATCTAATTTTAGGGGAGGAGGATATTTTAGCAGACATTCCTGTAGCTTGGAACCAATAGATTTTGGCAATGTTTAACCTTTGTCCTTGCAAAAAAAATCGAGACTTCCTTGGAAATGTTTATTGATTCTAAAAATATATGAACCAAGTACAAAGTGACATTTATTATTTGTCATTTTATAAAGATTCATTATTTTATAAAGAAATAAATTTATAAAATCTCTTTATTAAAAAATCTATAAAACCCTACAAAATTTTCAACGAATTGTGTTCACACTCAGTAACCCCTTCCGTTCTAGTGGCTTTATTGCCTTGCTTGGGGTGAAATGATTAAAAAATATATATTATATATATAATTTTTTTCTTTTAGAAACCTCTTTTTTTTTCTTTGAGAAAATTTGAAAAAAAATGACGCTTGCTTCCAAGAGAGAATAATTATAGCGAAAGAAGGCATTATTAAATGCAAAATTCTCAGTAACAATAAGAAAAGAAAAAACAGAATAAAATAAATGAGACGAGAATAGGCAACACAAGGCCGTTATAAGTAAGTAAAAAGTTCATAAAATCGCAATACGTGTTTACTCATAAAAGGGATACAGTTAAGTAGTTATGGCCTTTTTACTTCAAGGAAAGAAATACAATTTGTGTGGGTAAGACTGGCAATTTTTCATTTTTATTGGTTCGGAGGAAAGTAAAAAGTTCACAAAATAGAAATAGTGTTCACACAAAAAAGGGATACAGTCAAGTGGTTATAGACTTTTTCAAAGCAAGAAAAAAAGAAAAATATGCGTCAAACCAAAAATTGTTCATTTTTATTGACTAAGAAGAAATCCCAGCGTGCATCTGTAGTATCTGTCTATAAATTTGGAGAGGGCAGGTTTTTATTAGTCAGTCCCTAGTTTAAAGAGCAGTGCCATAGCCTGCTCAAATGTCAAACTCTCTGCCTTGAGCAAAGAGGAACCCGATTGTTGGCCGAGCCTACGGGCTCGGAGAACCCACGGTAAACTCAGCCTTGTACCACATACAACCTTCGTTCTGTTAAATATAACAGTCCCTATTTTGAGAAGCAGTGCCATAGACTGTTCAGCTGTCAAACTCTTTGCCTTGAGCAGAGAGAATCCCGGACGAGGCTTTGTCAAAGGGCAAAGTTTCGTCCGGGGAGGTGGACAGATTCTGAACCTGCTTACGCGGGTTCTAAGAGAATATTTTTGGCCAAGCCTACGGGCTCGGGGAATCCACGGTAAACTCGGCCTTGTGCCACATACATCCCTCGTGGGGCGGGGAGGGCTGTTAAATATAACAGTCCCTAGTTTGAAACCAATAAAATTAGTATCCCCATTTGCTCCTCCCAAAACATAAGCCATGGAATTTGATTATATATATTTATCCAGTCACTATTTTATAGCAAATGAGAATTTGTTAGTATCTGTGTATATTTCTGAGATGAGGTATTATGTACATTATTTACATTATTCGGACTATTGTCCTCATTTTTGTCGCCATATTTATTGCAACGTTTCAGCCGTTGTACG